GGCGAAACCTATGAGAGCGATCATGAAGCTCACAAAAAAACTTCTCGTTTCCGCACATATTATCGTCGGATTCGAGGGCAGCTGAATCACTAAAAACATTCTGAAGCAATCACACTAATCCTAAATGAACCAACGCAATGAAAATTAAGAATCTGGTCTACGCGAGCAGTTCAATACCACACTAGATCTCATTCAGACAACCAGAACATCAACAATTCAACAGCTATTGCAGCGAATGTCTTCCGGTTTCCGCGGAATAATCTACTCGACATCTTCACTTCGAATACTACAAATCGGAAGTATCATTGAGTTCCACAAAAGCAAAGATCGCAAATTTTACGGCAGATTCCCTCACGCTACGACAAGTTCATGACAACATTCATAATGACAACAACCTACTCAAATAGGTGAAACGGACGGAAGTTTTTGAAGAGTAAATAAACGACAAACACAGAATACATGATGGATCATAAGCATTTATTTATGCGCATTTTATTTCATAAAGCATTTTACAAACACTTTCAACTAATCATTTGACAAAACATAAACTATCGATGATAATTTCACACAAAACACATCACTATATACATTACAATATCGGTCCGAATGACCGTTACGATTCAATCTTAACAGGTGTATCACTAAAGCCGAAAGCCTTCTTCATTGTAGGAGAATTTTGCAAATGAAGGAAACGTGTTCGCAATTTCTCGAAACGCCTTGACTGTTGCACTTGTCTCTGCAATATCACTGATAAAGTTCAATCAAGCAATCAAAAATGGTCTCGTACACATTAATATCACCGAACAACTCGCAGCGAAACGTTTCAACTGATCAAAAATATTCAGCAAATCAACACAAACTCAAAACTTCGAATTTATTAAATCGTAAACTTCACATCAAAAGCTCGAAACTCGACAAAATAAACGTACTCTTCGCAACTCCCTCCAATACAACCATCCATCCAAATCAGGATCGAGATCTTCCAGTGGTCGAGGTGGCCGTAAATCAAGCTCGAATAACCACTGTGGATATTCGGAATCGGGTAGAATTTTTGGACCTGGTTCTTCACCTGCAAGTCAATAATTTCTTCAACAGAGTATCATAAGCACTAGAAACCCAATGAACCAATCGTAAAAATTTGCTTCTGTTTACATTCCGGAACATACATACGGCTTGGAGTAAATTTTGAATGTGGGAATGAAAATTTTGAACTCTATGACACATACAAATTTTGAAGGAAATCAATTGTAACGGTGACAAGAGCTATTCGCTCACCTTGCACGAAATAATTGATACAAACGTGACTGCACAATTTCTCCACATCACTTTCTATAAAACTTTTATCATCCTTTTCAGCTATTACCTTACTGCTCGCAGATGCAAAGCCACATCGTTGAATCTGCACAAGTGAATAATCTGAAATCGAAACAATCTCATTCAATAATCCAGTTCAAATTCATG